ACTCCCTTGGCTGACCTGCTCTGTGAGTCATGAAATCACAGTAAAACATGTCTTAGTCCTAAGAGTCAGTACAAGATTTCCTGAATAGTGTTTTTCTTTTCCTCAAACAGATGGTAAGCCCCTTGTTTTCAGAGCATATGACATCTGCTTCTCTTTCTCTAGTAATGACCTGCCCCGCCCCCTACAAAAAGGCATTACACATAGGGGATCAATAACCATTTGCTGGTTAAAAGTAGAGGATTAATCTGAACCTCTCAGGGATTCTCAAGTCATAGACATTTACTTTGAAGCCAGGGATCTAGTGTATTCCTGTAATATCAGCTACTTGGGAGGCAGAGGCAGAAGGATCAAAAATTCTGGGGACAGCCTGGGCAAAGGTTGTGAGACCTTGTGTCAAAAATGAAATAAAATTTTAAAAAGCTGGAGTGTGGCTTTAAGAGGTAAAGTAATTTCTAGTACCACAAAAAAAAAGTCCTGCTTGGCGCTGGTGGCTCATGCCTGCAATCCTAGATACTCAGGAGGCTGAGATTTGAGAATCACCAGTTCAAAGCAGGAAAATTCTGAGAGATTCTATTTCCAATTAACCACAAAACCCAGAAGTGTGGCTGTGGCTCAAGTGGTGGAGTGCTAGCCTTGAGCAAAATAGCTGAGGAACAGTGCCCAGGCCCTGAATTCAAGCTCGAATACAGGCACACCCACCCACCCCCACCCCATACACCTATACACACACACACACACACACACACACACACAATCTTAATTTGCCTAATCCTGGGTAACTAATCTATTACTTTTTTATTTTTGTTGTTATTGTAAAGGTGATGTACAGAGGGGTTATAGTTACATAAGTCACATAATGAGCACATTTATTTTTGGACAATGTCACCCCTGCCTTTGCTCTTAACCTTTTTACTATTAAGTTGCCCCAGAAACTGGACAGAAAAGAGGCCATTTTGTTTCCATTTAAGATGATGAATTAGGCCAGGCACTAGTGGCTCATGCCTGCACTCCTAGATACTCAGGAGGCTGAGATCTCAGGACTGTAGTTCAAAGCTAGTCCTGGCAAGAAAGTCAGTGAGACTCATCTCCAATGAACCACCAGAAAACTGGAGGTGGCGCTGTGGCTCAAAGTGATAGAGCAACAGAACTCCGACAGTAACCAAACTCTGAGTTCAAGCCCCATGATGAACAAGAAAAAAAATTTACAAATTAGAAAATTTTCATTACAGTACTCATTCTGCCATCAAGTAGTGTGAACTCTGATAAGCCAGTTAACTTTTTTGGCCTCAACTTAAAAACAAATAGGGAGACTTCCACTTGTGGCTAAGATGGAGTAGCTGGGCTTAGGTTACCTTTCTATATGAGAACACCAAACTAAATAAAACAAAACATCAACATCGATCAAGAGCTTTTAAGGCACTAATGAGGGAAGAGGATCATGAGTTTCAGGCTGACCTAAGCTACATCAATGACACTATCTCAAAACAATAACCAAAGTTTTGAAGACATTAAACAGTAGTCAGTAAAGGACAGTGACCCCAGAGCAACAGGAAATAAACAAGGTAAACACTTTGAATACCCCCAGCATATTCCAACAGCTTTATTGAGATATAATTCATATACCATAACATTCACCCATTTGGTTATAGATTTACATACACATCCAAGTATCACAAATTTTCACCACCTAAGAAGGGAAACATCTGTCAAAAGGGCTGTATCACTTAACATTCCCACTAGCAGTATACGACGGTCCCAATTTCTTCAGATCCTTGCCCATACTTGTTATCTGACTTTGTAATTATATTTGTAGTGGGTATGAAGGTTCATCTCTCATTGTGGTTTGGATTTTCATTTTGTGGCTAATGCTGAGAAACTTTTCTTGTGCTTATTGTTCATTTGTATATCTCCCTTGGGGGGAAAATGTCTTCTCGGATCTTTTTTAATAGTCATTTTTAATTAGGCTATTTTTGTTTTGTCAGTCATGGAGCTTGGACTCAGGGCCGGGTGCTGTCCCCGAGCTTTTTCACTCAAGGCTAGCACTCTACCACTTTGACCATAGTTCCACTTCTGGTTTTCCAGTGGTTAATTGGAGATAAGAGTTTCACAGGGACTTTTCTGCCCAGGCTAGGTTTGAACCACAATCTTCAGATCTCAGCTTCCTGAGTAGTTAGTTTTATAGTCGTGAGCCACTGGTGCCTGGCTTATTTATCTTATTTTTGTGTGTATGTGCGAGTACTGGGAACAGGACACTCTCCCTTAGCGTTTTTGCTCAGGCCTGGTACTCTGCCATTTGAACCACACCTCCATTTCTTTGGTGGTTAATTGCAGATAAAAGTCTCGGGATGGGCTGGGAAGGTGGCTCAGTGGTAGAGTGCTTGCCTTGCATGCCTGAGGCCATGGGTTCGATTCCTCAGCACCACATAAGCAAAAAGAAAAAAGCCAGAAGTGGTACTGTGGCTCAAATGGTAGAGCGCTAGCCTTGAGCTGAAGAGCTGAGGGACAGCGCCCAGGCCCAGAGTTCAGGCCCCATGACTGGACCAAAAAAAAAAAAAAAAAGTGTCTCAGGAACTTTCCTGCCCATGCTGGCTTTGAACTGTGATTCTCAGATCTCAGCCTCCTGAATAGCCAGATTAGAGGAATGAGCCAACAGTGCCTGGCCTTATCTTTTTATTATTGGGTTCTAAGCATTCTTTATGTAGTTAACCTTCCCTTACATTAATCATATGCAAATGCTTTCACTTATTCTATGGGTTGTCATTTCCTTTTCTTGCTTGTGGGCTTCTTTTCCTCCCTCCTTCCCTCCCTCCCTCCCTCCCTCCCTCCCTCCCTCCCTCCCTTCCTCCCTCCCTCCATATGTGTGTGTGTGTGTGTGTGTGTGTGTGTGTGTGTGTGTGTGTGTGTGTGTAGGCTAGGCGTTGTTCCTGAGCTTTAGTGCTCAAAGCTAGTGCTCTACCTCTTTGAGTGAAGGGGTCACTTCTGGTTTTCTGGGGGTTAATTGTAGATAAGAATCTCCCAATTCTTTCCATTTCCTAACAAATGGGGCGATTCATTCTTTCTGATAGAGGCATAGAATTCCATTCTGTATATATACCACATTTTCTTGATCCATTCATCTACTGAGGGGCGTCTGGGTTGGTTCCATATCTTAGCTATGGTGAATAATGTTGCAATAAACATAGTTGTGCTGGTAGCTTTAGTATGGTCTTGTTTGTGATCATTAGGGTAAATGCCCAAAAGTGGGATTGCTGGGTCATAGGGGAGCTCTATGTGGAGTCTTTTGAGAAAAACAAACTTTACAACTTTGGCATGTCTGGGGGTGGTGGTGGTGCACAGGACTGGGGGAGATGGGAAGGGATGGTAAGAGGAAACAAAGGAGGAGGCAACAATGCTTGATAAGAAATGTACTCATTACCTTCCTCATGTAATTGTAACCCCTCTGTATGGTATTTTCACAATAAAAAAAAAAAGAATATCCCTAACTTCCCTGTCTTGGCTAAATCACAATCCTCACATCTCAGCCTTCTGAGTAGCTAGGACTACAAGTGTGAGCCCATGGCACCAGGGTCTGTGTCTCAAGACACAAAAATTTTAAATTTTGAGGAGTCCAGTTTATCCATTTTTCCTTAGTTATTCATCCTTTTCATGTCATAAATAACAATTCTGTCAAATCTGAGGTTATGAAATTTTACCCAGTGCTTTTTGTAAGAATTTTATAGACTTAGTCCTTGTATTTATGTTTTTGACCTACTTGAGTTTATTTTTGTATGAAACACCCTTTGTTTTACATATGCCTATCCATTTGTCCCCGAACTATTAGGTTTTTTTTCTCAGTGAATGGTCTTGGCATCCTTGTCACAAATGAGTTGACCAGACATAGTGTTTAATTTCTGCACTCAGTTCTAGTCCAGTGATTCACATGTCTAAACTTATGCAAGTGCCTCACTGTTTGATTACAATTGATTCATAATAAAATCCAAAATCAGAAAGCATCTCTTTCCTCCCTATCTGCTTCCCTCCCTCTTCCTTCCTTCCTTTTCTTTCTTTTTTCTCATTCCTTTCTTCCTTCCTTCTTTCCATTTTTCCTTCTTTTCTTTCTCTCTCTTTCTTTCTTTCTGTCTCGCTCTCTCTTTTCTTTCTTTCTGTCTTTCTGCCTTTCTTTTTCAAGGTCTTGGTACAGAGCCCAGGCTGACCTCAAACTCATGACTCTCCTGCCTCAGCTTTCCAAGTGATGGTATTATAGGCTTATGATTCCACATTCAGTTTGTTCTTTTTCAAGACTGTCTTAGCTATTCTGAGACACTTGCAATTCCATGTGAGTTTTGCAATCAGCTTAATAATTTGAAAAGAAATCTAGATGGAACTCTTACTGGCATTGCATTTGAACTTTTAGAACACTTTCAGAGAAATAATCAGCCTAATAATCTGCCTTCCATCCATGAGCATGAAATTTTTCCATTTATTTAAACTTTTAAAATTTCTTCCAGCACATATGTGTAAATTTTACATTCCTTTTCTTAAATTTATTCTGTCTTTTTAATGTAATTATTTCTTAATCCCATTCACCAGTTACTAACTGCCCTTATATTCTACAATGTTGGCAAACTCGTACATTTTTTGCTTTCCAATCTAGATGGCATTAATGGCTAGAACTCTGGTACAATGTTGACATGCTGGCATCCTTGCTTTGTTCCTGATTTGAAGAGTATTCATTTGTTTACTATTAAGTATGTTAGCTGTGGATTTCTTACAGATATCCTTTAACAAAATATTCTTCAATTTCTTCTTTGTTGAGTTTTTTTTTTTTGGACAGTTGTGGGACTTGAACTCTAGGCCTGGGTCCTATCCCTGAGCTCTTCAGCTCAAGTCCAGTGCTCTACCACTTGAGCCACAGTGCCACTTCTGGTTTTCTGATGGTTAATTGAAGATAAAAGTCTCAGCGACCTTCATGCCTGGGGTGGCTTTGAACCTTAATCCTAATATCTCAGCCTTCTGAGTAACTAGGATTACAGGTGTGAGCCACTGATGCCCGGCTGAGTATTTTTTTTTAAATCATGAAAGGATGTTAGATTTTGTGAAGTGCTTTTTATGCATCTGTTGAGATGATCATGTGATTTTTAAAATTCGATTGCTGTGGTATATTGCATTGATTTTTAAATCTATATCCCAGAGACCTACCCCACTTTTCAGGGGATATTTTAGATATTGTTTTTCATTTTTGCATCCATATTTGTAAGTCACATTAATTTGTAGTTTCCTTCTGATCTTTTGTCTGGTTTTGGTACCAGGTTAATAACTGGCCTGAGAGAATAACTTGGGAGACGGTCTATCCTCTATCATTTTAGAGAAAGTTTGTAAAGAATGTGTTAATTCTTTAAATATTTTATTAGGACTCAGTAGAACATGATTGGGTCTGAGGTTTTATTTGTGCGCATGTTTTTAAAAGTATTAAGTGTTCATTATTTGAAATATTCAAGACCAGAATGAACTGTCTTGGATATCAACCTTTATGGACTTTGTAATATTTGTATATACATAGTGAGATATCTGGGGATGGGATCCACCTCTAAGCATAAATTATATTTATGTTTTATGTATACTTTATATACATGACCCAAAGTAAATTGTACAAAATATTTTAAATGTTTTGTATGTGCAATGAAGTTTGATAGTATGTAATTTTCCACTTGTGGCATCCAGATGGTATTTAAAAAAATTGGAGATTTTGGAGTGTTTTAGGTTTTTGGGTTAGGGATGATGAACCTGCAGTAATTCAGTCTTTCCATTTGTTATACCTCTATCCATGTTCCTATTTCTCCTTGAGTCAATTTCAATAGTTTTCATCTTTTTAGTAATTTTTCCATTTTAATCTATGTAAATATTCCCTTTTCCCCTTTATACTTGTCAGAGGTAATATTCTAGCCAGGCACAGTGCCTCATACCTATAATCCTAACTACTCAGGAGGCAGGAATCAGAAGGATCTTGCTTCAAGATGAGCTCAAGCATAAACAGTTCTTGAAAGCCTTGGTACAGTGGTGCATGCTGTCATCCCAGCTATGTGGGAGGCTTAGGTCTGGAAGATCATAGTTCCATGGCAGCCCTGGCAAAAAAAGAAAAAAAGTCTGTATGACTCTTTCAGTGGAAGATGCTGGACATAGTAGTGCATATCTGTCATCCTGCTATTGCAGAAATGTAAAATAGGAGGACTGTGGTCCAGGCATGTGCACAGGCAAAATAATGAGTCCTCATCTCAAAATAACAAGTGAAAAAAAAGGCTAGGTGCATGGCTCAGTGTTAAAGTACTTGCGTGGCAACTGGAAACCCTGAGTTCAATCCTTAGTACTGCCACCAAAAGTAATGTTTCTACTTTCATTTCTCATTCTGATCATTTGGGTCTTGTATTTTTGTTTTTGTTTTGATCTATCTAGCTAAAGATTTGACAACTTTGTGGATCTTTTCAAAGAGCTACTTTTTGGTTTTGTTGATTTCTCCTTTTCTATTTCTCTTCCATTAATTTCCACTCTAATATAGTATTTCCTTCCTTTAACTCGCATCAGGTTTTGTTTTTGGCCTACCTTACATCTTTTGCAAGGTATCACATTTTATCATTGTAAAAGCCTCTTTCTTCTAAGCTCTTCAGTTTTGTTTAACATCAATTGTCTAAGTTAAAACAGTTTTGTTTTGTAAATCAAGATATAGATAAAGGTGCCTCTGAAACCCTGTATTAAAATATATGGTTCATATATCAACAGCATCACTAACACCTGAGTGTTATACAAATACAGAATCTCAGGCCTTCTGTGGACCTAATAAGTCACAATGACATTTTAACAAGGCCCACAGATCATTACTATACACATTAAATTAAACTTATACCCTGATTTAGAATGCACCAGCACCAAAGGAAACCAAAGTGATAGTCCAGGGAGCTACTGCTGAAGAGCCTCCATCTGCATTTCAGTTTAGGGTCCGAAGGAGCTGAGCTTCAACAAAGGTGGGACCTGGCTCAATTCACTGGCTTGGGAGTATTGTGGAGAAGGTGAATAGGACACTAAATACTGAGCTGAGGAGGCTAGAATTCATAGTGGCTAAGACAGAGAAAGAATAAGGGTAAGGCTAATTTCAGAAGAATACAAATATTCTAAGAGCACTTATATAGATTTTAAAACATTCAATACCGTGTGTGAATTAGGTATGCAAATATATTATGCGCATCACATACCTGCATACATATGTCTTTGCATAAAGACATTCATGGGAATGATAAACCACATACTTAAGATAGTGGTTACATCTTGGAAGGTGAAATATCATGCTGCATAACAAATTAACAAATTACTACAAACCTCAGCAGCTTACAATATACATTGTCAGGAATCCAGACACAGCTTAGCTGAGTCTTCTACTTCGGCAATCCTCAAGTGTTAGCTGGAGATGCAGTCTCATTTGAAGATGATCAGAGTGAATCTTTTTCCCATATTTGCTTGTGGGGTTGTTGTCAGGACAACTCCATTCCTCATATGCTGCTGGCTAGAGGCCTCTCTTGACTCCTTGCCATCCAAGCCTTCCCATAGAGCCTTTAACAACATGAAAGAATACCAGCAAGATCAATGTTATGTTGACTTAAATGAACTTAATGCTTCCCCCTCATACATTTTTTGGCATCTTTGTTAGTATTTTAAGGTATACTATATTTTTGTATTCATTGGGACCATATCATAATGGTAACACTAAAGGTATTAATTTTTTGTCAGCAGAATTAAATAAATGAGCTGGGCACTGGTGACTCATGCCTGTAATCATAGCTGCTCAGGAGGCTGAGATCTGAGGATAGTGGTTCAAAGTCAGCCCGGGCAGGAAGGTCTCTGAGACTCTTATTTCCAATTAGCCACCAAAAACTGGAAGTGGCACTGTGGCTCAAAGTGGTGAGCACTAGCCTTGAGCTGAGGAGAGTGCCCAGGCCCAGAGTTCAAGCTCCACAACTGACAAAGCAAGCAAGTAAGCAAGCAAGCAAGCAGGAAAAAAAGTAGCCACTCATATATTATGATGAGATACCCTAAATTCTCTCCCAAATAATATGTTACCTCCACTGGGGCCTATGGTTTTGTTTTTGTCAGTTATGGGCTTGAACTCAAGGCCTGAACGCTATACCTGAGCTCTTTGGCTCAAGGCTAGTACTCTGCCACTTTAAGCGACAATGCCACTTCCAGTTTTCTGGTGGTTAATTGGAGATAAGAGGCTCATGGACTTTCCTGCTTGGGTTGGCTTTGAACTACTATCCTCTGATCTTAGTCTCCTGAGTAATTAGGATAACAGGCGTGAGCCACAGGCTCCGGGCATGGGGCCTATTGAACCCTTTCTTTGGGAAAAGGTATTATTTCTAGTAGCTCTCTGGTAAAGTAACAATAATCTTCAAATCAGACAATACCAACTTCAGTGTAATCAATAGTCCTTTAGAGTATCCTACTTTTATACCTTATGAGGAACAATATCATTGAGAATTTAAATCTGTGAAATCTGTGGTTATCCACACTCCAAAATATGTAAAGATTATAAATTTCAAGTGACATTTTTTATTTATTTTAAATACATTATTTATTGTAAAACTACTGTACAGAGGGGTTACAGTTACATGAGTAAGGTAATGAGTACAATTCCTATTGGGCATTGTTACCTCCTCCTTCAAGTGGTATTTATGAGGCTCTTAGAGAAATGTCTACTTTTCCTTCAGAAAACAGCACTAAGGCCCTGACAGAACAAATCCCTACCTTTGAACATTTGAAGCTTGTGAGAGCAGGGAAGAGAGGTAGTGACTGGAAGGTGGGAACATGGCCTGGAGAGGAGAGAACCAACTGAGGCTCTCAGCAGCCCTGAGGCAGCAGCATCAGTGAAAATGCCTGGGTCAAGGGGACCCAAGGGGAAGGAGGGAGGGAAGCAAGATACTCAAACAGTAGAGGCTCGGATACCTTGGGATCTTATGAAAGAACAATGTAACTTAAATGACCATTAAAGTCTATGTTTAGATTTTTAATATTGACAAAGGAAGAACAACAGGATTTATAGTAGTTGTGATAGGGAAACCTTTCCATTTTTAGAACCTTGAAAAGGTTCTAGGTGAGTTTGGAAACCCTAGAGATTATATATAGAGATAGATTATATATAGAGATTATATATACTTATATATAATTACATATTAAGTATTATTAATATATAATAAGTTATCAACCTAGCAATATTATTGACTTAATATAATTAATTAATAATATACATTGCACAATTATGTTATATATTTATACATTTATATATATATTCAAGATGCAGATTTTCCTGACAAAATGTGTATGCGTTTATGATTGTTCTGCTCAGAATCCATGCAGCAGATAAAAACAATCACTCTAGGACAAACTGTTAATAACCTTGGGAGGGGAATAATATGACAGCTGTGTGCTCATTCTGTACAATTCAGTGGTCTTCTCCATTCCCTAAATAGTAATTATGAACTTGAAACTGAAAATTCACTTCAACAAAATAAACTTCCAATAAATGTCATATATAGCATATCAACCTGGTTACAAGTACTACATTCTCCATCTCTTTATTCTTCTTATTTCTTTTTTGGCAGTCCTGGGAATTGAATTCAGGGCCTTGTGCTTGCTAGGCTGGTGCTCTGACACTTTAGCCACAATCTCTAGTGCTTTGGGCTCCTTTTCTTTCTTCCTTTTTATTTTTTCCTTTGCTAGTCCTGAATGTGATCTCAAGGCCTGGGTGCTGTCTATGAGGTTTTTCAGCTCAAAGTTAGTTCTCTACCACTTGGGCCACAGCTCCATTTCTGGCTTTTCTTTTCTTTTCCTTTTTTGTGATTAATTGGAGATAAGAGTCTACAGGACCTTCCTGCTTGAGCTGGTTTTTAATTTTGTTCCTCAGATCTCAGCCTCCTGAGTAGCTAGGATTACAGGCATGAGCCACCAGCATCCATCTCTCTCCTTTTCTTAAGAAAATGTGTCTGTGTTTCCATTCAAGTTTTCTTTTTTAAAAATGGCCACAGTATCCTAACCATCTTCTCTAGATTGCAATATATAACCTACTTCCTGCTTGTCCCTTGGGCCAAAAAGCTTAGATCATGCCATTTGGAAGGTTAATGGAGCCATGTTTTCACTCTTCACAATTTTAATTCCACAAGATAATCACTTGACTTATTTGCACTTCCTAGGGGAGACACTGAAAATGTAAATAATATGTAGGGGTATATATGTGTGTTTGTGTATGTGTGTGTGTGTATAACTTTATTGTCTCATACTAGGTTTATTACCTTAAGCCCATATTCTTCCTTTTTTTTTGGGGGGGGGTCTAGTCGTGGGGCCTGAACTCTGGGCCTGGGCGCTGTCCCTCAGCTCTTCAGCTCAAGGCTAGCGTTCTACCTCTTCAGCCACAGCACCTCTTCTGGCATTTTTCTTTTTGCTTATGTGGTGCTGAGGAATAGAACCCAGGGCCTCAGGCATGCAAAGCAAGCGCTCTACCACTGAGCCACCTTCCCAGCCCTAAGCCCATATTCTTAATCAAGTGAATCCTTTGCAGAATCCACAAAGTGGGGTGGATTAACAAGGCTCTGAAAGGGGTTTTTCAAGTTCTTTTTCCAAGTTCACAGAAATAGGATTTACCAAATGTTCAAAAATAATTATGATGAATCATAATCGTGAAGAAACAGTTTTCTGTCGTTATTACGAAGTTATTTTTAAAGTGTTTCTTCATGAATCATACAAAATAACCAATTGCAAAATAAATTGTCATCTTAGAATTACTTCTGAGACAAGGAAACTCAACTTTAAAAAAAGAAAACCAATATTAATTAAAGAATAGTTCTGCCAAATAAAAGAAATGATGTAGTAATAAGCAAAGCAATAAACTTCCCAAATGTAGGTAATGTCATTATTAAAGAATACTTCTCAAATTTTGATTCAATTTTAATCCCTAGTATAGCTTTAAATTATTTTGGAAAAATTACAAGCCCTTTTAGATGATTCAGTTCTTTTAGGATCACAGCAGAGTTCCATCTTAGTTCTTGAAGCTTGAAGAAGTTTTAATACAGAGATACATATTAATGATCAAGTTTATGAATTATAATCCAAAATTCTGTCTATGCAAAGTGAACCAACATTGCATGCTTTTCCTTTGTTAAAAAATATTGAGAGCCTGGTTCTGATGGCTCACGCCTGTAATCTTAGCTACACAGGAGGCTGAGATCTGAGGATCATGGTTCAAAGTTAGCTCAGGCAGGAAAGTCCGTGAGACGTTTACCTCCAATTAACCACCAGAAAACCTGAAGTGGTGCCGTGGCTCAAGCGGTAGAGTGCTCGCCTTGAGCTGAAGAGCTGAGGGACAGCGCCCAGGCCCAGAGTTCAAGTCCCATGATGGACAACATATATATATATATATATATATATATATATATATATATATATATATATATACATAATATTTTAATAACAAAATGGTTATCTTTACAGGTCTTTTGGTTTTTAGGACTCCTCTAAACATCAGGCATGTAGTTGCATAGGCATTCTTGTTCTCAGGACATAATGGTAATTGAGTGGGAAGCTTATATAATGGTACTGAGATGCTCCAGGCCTTGCACTAGCTCAGCTTGCTTGCTCACCTGGTATGCTACCACTGAAGCCATATCTCCAGCCCTGTTTTTGGTTGGTTATTTTGGAGATGGATTCTTATTGGCTTCTTTCCCCAGACTGGCTTTAAACTGTAATCCTCTGGCTGTCAGCCTCCTAAGTAGCCAGCATTACAGGCATGAACTACTGGAGGGTGGCTCCCCACTTTTTACCTGGTAACATTCTGATACTTGGAGAGATGAAGTAATTTGCTGGTATACTAAGGCCTATCTGCTTGCTGTTTGGATAGAATTTTCTTTTGTAGTTCTGGGGTTGCATACAGGGCCTCACACTTGCTCAATAAGCAGTCTACCATGTGAGCCATGCCCACAAACCTGTTTTGCTTTAGTTCTTTTCTTTTTTTTTTTTTCCAGTCGTGGGGCCTGAACTCTGGGCCTGGGTACTGCCCCTCAGCTCTTCAGCTCAAGGCTAGCGCTCTACCACTTGAGCCACAGCGCCACTTTCGGCTTTTTTCTTTTTGCTTATGTGGTGCTGAGGAATCGAACCCAGGGCCTTGAGCATGCAAGGCAAGCGCTCTACCACTGAGCCACCTTTGTAGCCCTTTAGTTATTTTCTTTAAGTGGATCTACAATCAGAGCATTATCCTCCAACCTGTAGCTCTACACATAGATGAGACCATAGGTATAAACCACCATACCCACGTTTTGGTCAGAGACCTTGAATCACACTCCCTCTGGATAGCTTGGATTACAGGAGTGAGCCACTACACTGGGCCTTGCTTTGGTAATTAAACTACCTGAATAAATGTATCAACCAGGGCCTAATCAAGAGCAAGCAAGCACATTAGCTATTTCATTTAAGAAAATTTAATATAAATAATTATTAATCAAGCATACAGTTAACTAAATAACTGAAACAACATAAAGGCAAATTTTTACCCAATAGAGGTAAAACTGTGCTGTCTAATAGAATAGTCATTAGTATATATGCCTTGTGAATACTTGAAACATGGCTGGTACAAATGATGAACTACATTTTTAATTTTACTTAATTGTAATTCCTTTAAATTAAAAAAAAACAGCCTAGATATGCCCAATTCTGGCCAATCTAGACAAGCAGGGACTGGATTTATTCTCCTTGACACAACTGAATACTGGACAAAATGTATAAAGTAGTTTTTTTGAGGCACTGAAAAGCGAACAGGAGCAAAGATCCCTGAGAGAAGGAAACAAGTGAAGTAAAAAATAATCAAGGACTGTCCCCCAGCTTTATTTATTTAAGAGAATTTCCTGGGCTGGGAATGTGGCTTAGTGGTAGAGTGATTGCCTAGCATGCATGAAGCCTTGGGTTCTATTCCTCATTACCACACAATCAGAAAAAGCCAGAAGTGGCACTGTGGCTCAAGTGGTAGAGTGCTAGCCTTGAGCAAAAGAAGCTCAGGGACAGTGCCCAGGCCCTGATTTCAAGCCCCGGGACTGGCAAAAAAGGAAAAAAAAAAAAGAAAAATGCACTCTTTACCTGACTTATATAACTATAACCCCTCTGTACATCACCTTTACAGAGACAAAATAATTTTAAAAAGAGAGAGGGGCTGGGAAGGTGGCTCAGTGGTAGAGTGCTTGCCTTGCATGCATGAGGCCCTGGGTTTGATTCCTCAGCACCACATAAGTAGAAAAAGCCACAAGTGGTGCTCTGGCTCAAATGGTAGAGCACTAGCCTTGAGCTGAAGAGCTGAGGGACAGTGCCCAGGCCCTGAGTTCCAGCCCTAGGACTGGCAAAAAAAAAGAGAGCGAGAGAGCGAGAGCAAGAGAGAGAGAGAGAGAGAGCGAGAGCGAGAGAGAGAGAGAGTTTCCTGGTTGTGGTCAAGGGAAACAGAGGCAGAGTCTGGAACTCCCTTAGTTAAGAAGATAGAGCTACAAGCTGGGCTCCAGTGGCTCACGCCTGTAATCCTAGCTACTCAGGAGGCTGAGGTCTGAAGATCATGGTTCAAAGCCAGCCCAGGCAGGAAAGTCTGTGAAACTCTTTTTTTTTTTTTTTTTGTCGGTCGTGGGGCTTGAACTGTGGGCCTGGGCGCTGTCCCTCAGCTCTTCAGCTCAAGGCGAGCGCTCTACCACTTGAGCTACAGCGCCACTTCCGGTTATCTGGTGGTTTATTGGAGACAGGAGTCTCACGGTCTTTTCTGCCCGGGCTGGCTTTGAACCACGATCCTCAGATCTCAGCCTCCTGAGTAGCTAGGATTACAGGCGTGAGCCACCAGCGCCCGGCAAGTCTGTGAAACTCTTATCTCCAATAAACCACCAGAAAACCGGAAGTGGCACTGTAGCTCAAGTGGTAGAGCACTAGCCTTGAGTTGAAGAGCTGAGGCACAGAGCTCAGGCCCAGAGTTCAAGCCCCACAACCGACCAAAAAAAAAAAAAAAAAAAAGATAGAGCTACGAGTTCAGGATGCTTAAAGCAGCTAGATTTTTCAGCACAAAAATACCATGAAGGAGGGCACTTCCCAGGCAGATAATTTCAGAAAGTTGCAGAAGGCTCACCCTTGAGTACATGGCAAAATAAGGATAGGTGCAAATATGTGAGGAAACTACCAGGGACAAGGAAAGGAATAGCACTCAACCTGTATACAAATCTAGAAGAGCACTACTTATCCCCAAAGGCAGACTGGAAATCTCATCACTCATGGTGAATTGCATAGAATACTCAGAAGGGTCTTGTCTCATTAGAAGAGGATAATTAGCTTGGCGGTGGAGGGGAAGGGGGAGACAATGCTTTGCTGCTATCTAAAAGAAAACCTGACAAAAAAGAAAACTATGGGGGGGGGGGAAGGGAGATGGAAAGGGATTAAGGTGAAACAAGGAGAAGGCAACAATGCTTGATAAGAAATGTACTCATTACCTTGCTCATGTAATTGTAACTCCTCTGTAAGGTATTTTCACAATAAAAAAAGAGAAAACTATGTGTAAGAAATTTTAAAAAGAGTTAAACTGAACTATGTCACTCTATCATTTCTAAATGGTCAAAAAGTGATATAGAGGCATGTAAGATATTACAAAGAGGAAAACTGAGTTTCTAAACATGAAAATCGTAATATCTGAGATAAAAACGCTGGATAAAGCTGAGCACCAGTGGCTCATACCTATAATCCTAGCTACTCAGGAGGCTGAAATCTGTAGATTGTGATTCAAAACCAGCCTAGGCAGGAACGCCTATGAGACCATCTCAATTAACTATCAGAAAACCGGAAGTGGTGCTGTGGTTCAATGTCATAGAAGGCTATCCTTGAGCCAAAAGAGCTCAGGGACAACGCCCAAGCCCTGGGTTCAAGCCTCAGGAACAACAACAACAAAAATACTAAGGAGAAGAAGGGAATAAATGTCAATACATTTACAGATTTAGAGGGAAAGACTTAGGCTAATTGCTTACATATACAGACCACCTGACTAACTGGACATGAAATGGACATACAATCAAATTGTAAAAGAAGAAGTACACATCCTTTATTTTCAGATAACTGCTTGTATGCAAAAAACAGTTGCAACTCAAAAAAAGGTTCTTGAGCTAAATAAGGTTTAGCAAAGTTTCAGATTACAATCTTAATATACAAAAAATATTTTTGCTTCTCTACTAAAAGGGTGATTGAAATTGAAAATATAAAATATTATTTATGACCCCTTGGTCCACAGGACCTTGAAGCTTAATGATCCTACAGGAGCCTCTGGAATTCCCCCCCCCCCACACACACACACACATACACATCCTTGCGTATGTGTATGGGCCTTGCGTATGCTACCTGGAGAGGGCAGTGACTTGGAAATGCCAGGGAGTCTGAGGAAAACATGGCCATCCACTTCTCTACATTGAGCCTATATAATGACCACCCCTACTGCAGCCCCAGCACAGCTTTCCCACCAGCCCTGCCCTCAGTCAGAAGCCCTTGCTTTAAGCTGCTTCTCTGGTGCTACCCTGGAAGGCTAATTACAGAGGCTCTCTGGCTGCTGAGGTTGGGGAACACTGTCATTCCTCACTACCCTGCAAAAGCAGCTGTGGACATAATGGAGCTGTGAGTACTGGAGCCTGTGCTCCTGGCCACTATAAAAAAGACAAGTAAGCTACCAGGGCTTATCCTCCTCCAGAACATGTGTCAGGGCCTCTCCAATAGAGGACTCTGAACTCCATGGAGCCCTGGGTGGCAGGGGCAACAGCAAGGAAGGCAGATATTAACACTGCCCCCCATACCCCTCGAAATGAAGACAGATTGCTAAGTAGTTAAATAAATAACTTAGCATTTACAACATGTAAATATGGTGGGGAGTGAATTTGTGCAAAGTTTACTGAGTGTATGAAAATATCACAGTGGAACCTCCTCAGCATTACAAATGTATGTTAATTCAAAAACAAAGCAATAAAATGTTAATACTTATGGGTAAATCAGACAAAAGATGCCTGAAATGCTTTTTGTTGGAAACAATAATCTACAACGGAAACTAAAGCAAATCTACATAAAGAGATTTGTGCCTTATTCATATTGTCAGAGGATTCAGTATTGTTCAGATGATGTTTTTTCCTAATTGAGTCAGATTCAGTAAAATCTCTTTCAGACCTCCAAAAGATTTTCTCTATGAAAACCCACACACTGATTCTAAAATTCAAATAGGAATGTAAATGACCCAAAAGAGCCCAAAGAACTTTAATAAAAGAACACATTTAGAAAGTTGAAACCACTTAAAAAAAAGAAAGCTGAAACCACTTAATATTAATAGTTATTATAAAGCTGTTGGTTTTAATGCTTACTATGAAGCTACATTATATTCGATAGTGCATATTAGTGTCAAATAAATATAGTTATGGAACAGGATAGTGTCTAAAAATATACACACAAAAATAGACAACTGCTATTTTTTAATCAATGGTAAAAAGGCAATTCACTGGAAAAAGAATAACCTTTCCAATAAATGTTGCTGCAACAACTAGATATACATATATCATATACAAAGTTAACTCAAAATAGATCATAGTCCTAAATATAAAAACTAAGATTTAAAAAAGTCCTTAGAGAACATTTAGGAGGAAAAAATTTATGATCTTCAGTTCGGCAATGATTGCTTAGATGACATAAAAAGCAAAATCCATTCAAAATAAATTGAACTTTATAAAAATCAAAAACAAACTTTTGCTCTTTGAAACACAAGACAGGAGAGGAGGCTCTAGTGATAAGGTACCTGCATAGCACATACAAGGAGGCCCTGAGTTCAAATTCTATACTACAAAAAAAATCTGTTAAGAGTGGAGAAGTAGTTCATTGTTACGGCACTTCCTTAACATGGTCAAGAAAACCCTAGGTTTGATCCCCAGTATCTTCCCCCCCCCCCTCTCCCTGTATGTTTTGGGGCTAGAGTCATAGCTCAAGTGGTGGAACACCTGCCTAGCAAGCACAGGACTCTAAGTTCAAACCCTAGTATGGCAAAAACAAAGAAATAAAAAGACAAAACAATAAAAGACAATTTATAGACTCAAATAATTGTCTGCAAAGCATACAGCTGATAAAAGATTTGTATTGAAAAATATACTCTCAATTTTTAATAAGAAAATAAACTCAATGAATAAATCAATATATAATTGACCAAAGATTTGAACAGATACTTCTTCAAAAAAGACATACATTGTCATTGTCATTAGGTAATTGTGAATTAATACCATCATAAAATATGCTAACATACACATGAAGATGACTTAAATTAAAAAGAATATCTATAAAAATGCTGCTGAAAGCCAGGAACCAGTGGCTCACACCTGTAATCCTAGCTACTCAGAAGGCTGAGATCTGACGATTGTGGTTCAAAGGCAGCCTGGGCAGGAAAGTCTGTAAGACTCTTATTTCCAATTAACTACCAGAAAACCAGAAGTGGCACTGTGGCTCAAGTGGTAGAGTGCTCGCCTTGAGCTGAAGAGCTGAGGGGACAGTGCCCAGGCCCAGAGTTCAAGCTCCACGACTGACAAAAAAAAAACAAAAACAAAAAACAATAATGCTGCTGAGGATGCCAATGAACTGAAGTCTCTCACAGAGCTGGCAGGAGTGCAAATGGTTTAAACAGTTTGATGGTTATATTAAAAAAGTTAATCATATACCTATGAAATGATTCATCTACTCTCCTCTAAGTTATGTACACCAAGGAAAACATATATTCTCAAGTGAGTAGAATAGCACTTGCCCAACACACATGAGGCCCTGAGTATGACCCCACCACTAAAAAAAGAGAAAAAAATATAGCATATATCTATCTACAGAAAGTCTTGTATACATGTGTCATTACAAGTGTTATCGACAGAAAGTCTTGTATACATGTGTCATTACAAGTGTTATTTGCAATAGCTAAAACTGAAAGCAAATCAAGTGTTTACTAACAGATGAATAGATAAACAAAATTGAGGTACAGGTTAGGTATCCATAATTTAAAATCTGAAATGCTTGAAAATTTGAAACATTTTATCTGGGCTCTGGAGGTTCATATCTATAATCCTAGTTACTCAGGAGTCTGAGATCTGAAAGTGTCAGTTCAAAGCTGGCCAAGGCAGTAAAGTTCATGAGACTCTTATTTTCAATTAACCACCAGAAAGCTGGAAGTGGAGCTGTGGCTAAAGTGGTAGAGCACTAGCCTTGTATGAAAAAATAAAACAAGCAAGAGCATGAGTTCAAGCCCTAGTACAAACACTAAACACACACACACACACACACACACACCCTTTCCAGTGACATAAATTAGCACAGTGATTACCTGCAGGGAAAAGAGGAAAAGGAGAGATTACCACCATATACATTAAGAAACTCTTGGCTATGCTCATTATCTTTTTTTTGTGTGTGTGTCCAGTCGTGGGGCCTGAACTCTGGGCCTGGGTGCTGTCCCTCAGCTCTTCAGCTCAAGGCTAGCGCTCTACCACCTGAGCCACAGTGCCACTTCCGGCTTTTTTTCTTTTTGCTTATGTGGTGCTGAGGCATCGAACCCAGGACCTCATGCATGCAAGGCAAGCACTCTACCACTGAGCCACCTTCCCAGCCCATATGCTCATTATCTTGATTAAAATAATGATTTCACAGGTGTATACACAGGCCAAAACTTGCCAAATTGTATACCTTAAAATATCTGTTCACTACATGTCAATTATACTCAAAGCTGTGAAAAAAATTGACCCACAGAAATATACCAACTGATTTCTTACAAAGATACAAAAATAATTTGGAAGAATGTGAGAAGAGACTAGGGTCTGACAGATTGGGCAATAAAACCACAATAAGCCCCTTTAAGATTCAAAGGCCAAAAAAAAAGAAGAAAAGATTCAAAGGCCAGGCTGGGTGCTGGTGGCTCACACCTATAATCCTAGCTACTCAGGATGTTGAGATCTGAGGATCCCAGTTCAAAGCCAGCCTGGGCAGGAAAGTCTGTGAGACTCTTATCTTCAATTAACTATAGAAAATTGGAAGTGGTGCTATGGCTGAAGTGGTAGAGTGTTAGCTTTGAGCTGAAGAGCTCAGGAACAGCTCCCAGGCCCAGAGTTCAAGCCTCATGACTGGAAAAAAAAAAGACTCAAAGGTCAGGTGCTGGTAACTTACTCCTAAAATCCTAGCTACTGAGGAAGCTGAGATATGAGGATCATGGTTCAAAGCCAGCCTGCGCAGGAAAGTCTACGAGACTCTTATCTCCAATTAATCACCAAAAAGCTAGGAGTAGAGCTGTGGTACAAGTGGTAGAGTGCTAGCCTTGAGCAAAAGAAGCTCAGAGATAGTGCCTAGGCCCTGACTTCAAAAGGATTCAAAAGTGCCAGTGCCCTGTGAGCCTTCTCTCACACAGCAAAAAAGATGACATCAAACACATACTAAGAGAATCCCTAATAGGTCTGCCAAGACTCAGAGATAAAGTGCAGGTCAAATTAGCCTATGTAGCCTGTGTCACCAGGTCACCAAAACAGAGCTCTTCCTCTATAGATAAGTCTCTAACCATGGAACAGGAACAGGTTTTCTTGGGCAGTTCTTCCTCAGCGTTCCTGTAACTCAATGCGAGAGAAAAAGAACGTCATGTGGGACTTCTGGTGGACAGTCTATGCCTAACTTCTCTGGACTCTGAATAAAGCATGTCTTTTATTCTGTTGTTTTTGTTCTGTAATCCTTTGCTGCAATAAACATAGCGGTGAGTAAAATCTACTATTCCTTCTAGAGTATCCACGAGCCTGAAGCAGTTCTGGCATCCCAGAAGCATGGAGTTTTACTCAACAAATTGTGGTGGCAAAATTCAACATCCCTGCACAAAATGATGATAAACCTATGATGATGATAAAATGATAATAAATCCTTATATAACAACTGGAAACAAGTGGTCTCATTGATTTGAAACGTAAAATTACATAACTTTTAGAAGAGAACATAGGAGAAAACCATCATGGTTTTATATTTGGTGAAAGGGACTTAGAAATAACAGCAGACATATAATGCACAGAAGGGAAAATGAATAATATAAAAGAATAAAATCTATAGACAGGGTGAACATGTTTGTAATCATACTTCTCACAAAGGATTTGTATTCAGAATATAAAAAGAATTATTAAGATTCAGCTAAGAAACCAGGCAATGTTTTGGTGATACTGGGGTTTTGAACTCAGGGCTTTATACTTGCTTGGCAAGTACTCTATCAGTTGACCCATGCCTCCAGCCCTTTTTGCTTTAGTTTGTCTTTTAGATAGTTGTCCTGCTTTAGCTGGAGTCAGCCTCAGAATTCAGGCTTCCTATCTCCACCTCCTGAATAACTAAGATTATAGGCATGAACCACCATATACACCCAATTTTTTGCCAATGGGAAAAAGACTTAAACACATCACCAAAAGATTAGATAAACAATGGTGGTTGTATACATAAGAAGATATTCAATATCACAAAATGCAAAATTAAAGCTACAATGATATGTGGCTATTCAAATAGTGAAAGAAGAAAACATTAGTTAAATTAAATGCTGATGTGAATGCCAAGAAATAAGATTACTCATACATTGTTGGTAGGGATGTAAAATGAGATAGCTAC